TGATGTTTCAGGAAAAAGGTAACTGACTCACTTGAAAAGGAACCGAGTGAATTCATGCTGCAAGTAATTCTGCTTTCTTTTAGGGACAGAAATATTTATTTTCTCAATCCTGTAACTAAACTTATCTGCTGATACCACAAGAAGTTATAAATCCATAACTGTGTATCATTTGCCATGTTTGACCCATATGTTCTATAAAAAAGTTCAAGTTTTGTCATCTGCACTTTGAATTCCTCAAAGTTCTGCTTGAATTTCTTCTCTTTACATAAAGTGTCAGTTCTCTGGCAGCCCACTCTGTCGTATTTAGATATTTATTTCAAGTATGAGTACCTAAGAACCAGCTCTGTGTTTGCTTCTGTCTTTGTACTATTCCTGGAAAGGTGGGCGTCCCGGTTTTGGGCTCAGCTTCTGGTTACTACCGTAATACCAGTGACACGTAATCAAATAGGAAAGTCATCAAATATTCCATGTTTTCTGCTGACTAAACACTTGTGGTCTCTTAATTATGAATAAGGAGGAAAATGGTACCTTTTCCTTATGGCATGGTGACAACTATTTCTAGTTTCTAAAAAGAAACATGGGCAAATTTAGATGTGTTAGGAACTTCAGTACATGCTTCTCTTTGCTCCCTGATTGTCTGTGTGTTCTTGGTCCCCATTCCGAGTTTAATCTGGACAAAGCATTAGGAGATTTAGCTCCTACCAGCTACTTTGCAGCATACAGACGTCATTATCATGCTTAATATTTATGTCATAAAGCTGGCAAAGTGCTATTCTAGGTTTCTGTCCAAGTTCCTCAAGTGATGCAGTGCTGCACCTGACTTGAACCAACTGTAAATTGGAACAACATCTCTATCACAGTGCTGAGTTTAATTAACTAATAATTACAAAGCAATGAGAGATGGCTTGCTCTCATTACAGCTATAGCAGAATTCAGCCTCGGTGAGCTGATCTATTTTCTTGGAGTTCTTTTTCATTTAACTTACTCTGTTTCAACCACACTCAAGAGAAAGCGCCTGTGATGGGGAGGGCAAACCTCTTCTTGTCAGCCCCCTAACAGAAAGCTGACCTGTCTTGGTAAAAATAGGATGCCCTCAAAGAGGTGGGCCACTGAGACATTAGTTCTTTATAAACACTGTTCGGCACAAGTATCATCATGCTGTTTCCTCAAGAAAAGAAGTGAAGAAAGATGTCTAAGGGTAGTAATTATACAGACAAAAATACAAATGGGCCAGATAAGGAGTGAGATAATGACTTCTTTAGCAGCCTGTATTTAGTATATGTTGCATCTTTCCATACTAGTTCATCTTTGAGGTTCTTTTTGTGTGTTTAGAGGGCTTTTTTCTTATTCTGCGTTTCCTGCAAAAAGAAAGTATCCGTACACATGCTGCCAGGTCCTCCTGCTGTCAGTGGTGTTCTCGAGACTCAGCAGCGTGTGCGAAGGCTGATCAGTGATGGCTTTCTGCAGGGAGCCCTCCATGGCTGAGCCTCAGAGAATGGCTTTGCATCCACATAGCCAATTTCTGAAAAGCCTGCTTGGGTTCACACTGAGCCTCCCCACACAGAATTTAAACATAAAAGATTACACTGAAGACACCATGCTAAAATCAAGCCATTTTTGTTCAAGGAAATTTAGTAAAGGAAAAAAAACCAACACCTTCCCTGTGTATATTTCTGGGAAGCTGTAGGACACGTCGTCAATGCCTCTCCTCACTTACACCAAGTTGCAATATAGAAACAAAAATCAAAAAGTGGATTTTGAAGTAATAGCTCATGTGCTGAACCTGGCAGTGCAGTCACAAGTGCTGTGCACAAGACTAACAAACAAGAAGAGTGCAGGATGGGAAGGACAGTGCCTTGCGTGGAAGTCTGCCACTTCATCCTTCACTCACTACGTGATGTTTAGCCCTTTGGGGATTGAAAATATTTAACTGAGTTATTTAATCTTCATGTTATTTCCTCAGAATAATTTGAAGATCAGTTTCATTATGCTAAATTTTAATATATAATATTTAATAATCCTTGAATCTTTTTCAAGGATTGAGAACAAATATTTTTCTAGCCTAATTTTGAGTGGGGAAACCTTCAAAAGGCAAATGCAGAGTGCATGAGAGTGTAGACTTATGAGAGTGGAAGCTCTTCTCTTTATCAAAAGCTATCGTTTTCCCCGGTGCAAGCTCCTTCCAGCTTGGTATAGGGATTGTTAGGAACAACAAATGAAATGCTCTGCAAGAAAGATGCTTGCTTCTGTTCTGTTCTTCTGAAATACGATATATTTTTTTCTGGTACAATTATGTGGGAAATGTAGTTAGTCAACGTTAGTGCATTTGATTTTAAAATTTTAGCCAATAAGCATTTTCTTTCTCTCATTTTAAAGGCACAAACTTAAGAAAAATAACTTAATTATTATCAAATGTTGGTTCAAGTTAATGCAATTCCTTTCCAGCCGTGATCTAATTTCAATAATTAATTTACATCAGGATATCTGTTCTGCATGAGAATTATCCTGACAAATGCACTCAAACTAGTGTGTTCCAAAGAAGTAGCTCTTGTAGAAAGAGCTTCTTTCTACAAGTATTTTGGATATTCCTACCAGAAAGGTACCAGTTAAACTTGGTATTTCCTCTTCCAGCTTTTTCTACCACACCTAATGCTCTCATTAAACAAACAGCGCTGTTGAAGCTGTTTGAAATGTTGCATTTTCCATGGCAGCAGCCTTTTTTTCCTCCGAGACTTTTCCCTCCACACCCTAAATTAAATGGTGAGTGGTATATTTGCACTAAAAGATGACTTAGCGGCTATGTCATTTGGAAGAACACAGTCATTCTGAGCACTACAACTTTCACCACTGTGTAAAAGAAAAATATCAGCCTAGGGCTAGATGCATGCGACTAGCAAATATATGAGGTGTATAGGGGATGGAGCGGAACCATCATATGATTTTGCAGATCACCTTCAACACTCTGTTATAGCAAGGGTGTTGTCAACACTTCACAAACCTTCCTCTCACTGTCCTCAAGTAAAGCACAGTAATATCTGTCCTCTGCTTCATTGTCCTTCTTTTTCTGTCTTTCAGCAGCAGCCAGGCAGTTGCCAGTCCAACACAACCATGCCTTTATTTCTAAAGGGAGGGCAAAGGGCATTTTGATAAGATGTGCTTCAGCTGGTTGACACGTCATTTGACTGTTGTCCAAAAACTGCCCCTTTCATTATTCTATACCTAATGAGAGGAAATAATGCACTATAAAATGTCTGTGTTGCTTGGATGCCTTTCAGCCTCCATGCTAGGAAATAACTGCTGGAAATCCTGGAGATTTCTATAATTTGTGTTTAAAATGTGAAAATGCCATTCACACCTGGGAGGAAAGGAGGAGGGTGCCCTGAGCCAATAGTAAATATCTGTTACTGAAGATCCTGATTTTTATATTGATATATCATACATATATATATATATTATTATGTATTTATTTATTTCATTATTTATTTTTGCATTGGTTCCAATTGAGTTCTTAAGTGATGCTAAAGTTCAAATTTTTGTGAGAAACATTCTCCATCAAGAAGTATTAGGTGACTTCAGGGTTGATCTTTCCTAATTTTCCTCATAGATTTCTTTTCTTCAGTTAGGTAGATGAAATTTAAAAAAATCCTTCAGATGCTGACACTGTGAAAGCAGTAGCTGTGTGCACTGTCAATCCAGGATAATCTCTCTAGTGACTCATTCTTAATTGCTGGCCTTTCTTCATACCTTAGGAACTATGTCACTCTCAGAGCTGCTTGAGATTTTCCTTCCAGGAACAATTTTGATCTTAAAATAGGAATCTCACAAAGGAATCTCTAGATGAAAGCCATTTCCTGCTCTCTGCTGGCCCAGTCGATGTTGAGATGCCCAGTTATGGACTCTGAATTTCACATCTCCAACTCGATCCCTCTTAGCTGCAGTTCGTTGCAGCCTGACCGGTTTGGGTGGGACTTCTTCACAACACGAGTGAAATTCAATCTGCTCTCAAGTTCAGCAGAAGCTGATGGCTGAATGCCATTGACACACAATAAAGTCTTACATGCCGTGTAAGTGTTACTGGGCGTTAGGCTGGTCCCCTGCAGGAGGGAGGGAAGTGCTGTCTGCTTATCCATGGAAATACCCCACGCCTCTACAGTGACTTCTGAGCTACCTAACGAAGCTCCACAGCTGCTGCTGTAACTCCAGCCGGACTAAAACCCCAAAGTTACCGAAACCCCCAATAAATATGATCATAAGCCACCAATGCTTCAGTTCCTTGTTCCGCATAGGGATGCAGCCTGATGGGGTATGTCACCCCAGGCAGGTTGCTGGCTGTTCTTGTCTCAGGATCAGTGAGATTTTTTAACTCCCTTTGTGCTTTCTTTTGGCATTGTGAAAATAGAAGCTACCTTAATATTTTGGTGAAGACAAAGTTAAATTCCTCTTTTCTGTGTTTTTACTTCATGTGCTGTTGTGGCGATGCTCACAGTGATTCCAGCTGACAGCTAATGAGCAATGAATCCAAGGGAAGTCTGGTATCGATAGCTTCCAGTGATAGATTGTATAAAACAACCTGTCCTTTGAAATCTGTTGGGATCCGACAATCACTCGTAGAGTATTTGGCTGATAGTCCTGTAGCTGTGTAACCTAAGATTGATCAGTAAATCAAAGCGTAAAGAAACGCTCCTGGCTTAAAAATTTACAGAGATGGATTTGGACGTTTAATCATTCCATTGCAGAAAAGAGGTGCCCAGAAGCAGCATGCCATTTAGGAATTGCTTCTGTCTCCTGTCACTTCTCTCTATCATCCTTATAAATATCACCAAGAGCAACCTTACTTTACAACAACTAGTTTCTTCCATGCCAGGTCTGACAAGTGGGTTTTGCATCTTATTTGTTTTATCTTTCAACATGTTTCTTTCCTCTGGTTACTACTTTGTTACTACTTTGTTAATGGTGATTTGTAATCCCATGCAAATCAGCTGGCTGTTTTATATTGACAGTGCGAGAAGCAAAAAACCTAATTCCCATGGATCCAAATGGACTTTCAGATCCTTATGTTAAACTGAAACTTATCCCTGATCCCAAGAATGAAAGTAAACAAAAAACAAAAACCATTCGTTCTACTCTGAATCCACACTGGAATGAGTCATTCACGTTGTAAGTTTAACCCCTTTTAATACAATACCTTTTAAGTATTGAATCATTTATTTGAGTTTTGCATTGAAAATGCTTCTTCTCTGCTTCTTTTTAGTAAATTAAAACCTACAGACAAAGATCGACGGTTATCCGTAGAGGTCTGGGACTGGGATCGAACAACCAGAAATGATTTTATGGGATCTCTTTCATTTGGGGTGTCAGAGCTTATGAAAATGCCAGCCAGTGGATGGTAAGAGTTTCTGGAGAGACTTTGAAATGGTACTTTTCTTCAGTGTAATTACATTTTTTGTAGCTTTTCACTGTATCTCATGCTATGAGATCACTGAAAATGCAACCGAAACCAGGAAACATAGGCTATACATGTATATAACAAAGAAGGATAATTAAAGGAATTATTTTCTTTTGTCATGTTCATGAAGCTTCTGCTGGAGCCAGGAGATGCTGTAAACTCAATTCTATGTACGCAGTCTTGTGATATTCATCTTATTTTTATCACAAATATGATATATTCATTATGAAGCATATCAGTTAGATATAGCTCCACAAGTTCAAAGTACATGGGAACTGATTTTATAAAATGTCATCTTATTACCTACCAAACCATGCATAGAACTTATAAAACCTTCTCAAAAAGTACATCTCATTGAGGAGAATTGTTAAGGGCCTTAGAAGTGCTGGAGAAAAGGTTCTTCAAGGTTGATTTCTCCACTATATTACAGGATGATTGGAATGAAATCCTTGTACATTACACTGCCTTGACAGATAGTTTGTGATTAAAGATATAAGTTTAGGTGAAATATACTCTGTTTCTCTGTTTGCTTTAGAATTTGGCAAGCAGTTCTTCACATGCAAGTGACATCGGTACAAACAACTAAATCAGATTTTAAATCTAAAAGGAATAAATAAAAATGTAACAACATTTGCTTTTCTCAAATGTTTTACAGGTACAAGCTGCTGAATCAAGAAGAAGGTGAATATTATAATGTTCCGATTCCAGATGCTGATGAAGATGGAAATGCAGAGCTTCGACAGAAGTTTGAGGTGAGGATTAAGCATAAATATGCAGCTGTATTTTGCATACAGTTGCCACCTTATTACCAAAACAAAACAAAACAAAATGTTCAAAGTTATATAGTGTTATTAGTTCTGTTGCTTATGTCAGCAGTATTTACCTTTGGGTTTCTTGGAGATTGGGCCAAGGGGATAATTCAGCACTAGCATTATTTGTCTGACAGTTCTGCTTCTCAATATAAATTGGTATTGTAAAATATTTTATGTCAGGAATGTGTAATGGTTTCAGTTATCTTCTAATGCTTACTCCAAAATCTGCAAAAGTGATTATTGCCAGTATCCTTAATAATTTGTAAAACAAAGGTCTCAGAAACAGCAGCATTTTATTACCTAAAATGTTTCACAGTGAACATTTTTTTTAAAGAGAAAACAGTTACAACTGCTGATTAACTGGAGCCTTAAAATCTCTGTAGAAGGCTGGCACCTGAAGTTCTGATCTCTCTCATGTGGGTATGGAAGCTTCAGGAGGAGTGGTATTGCTGGTTATGTACAGAAAAGAACCACTGAAGAAAAACAGTATTTTCGGCAGAGTCCTCCTGCCCTCTGCAGTGCACGTTGGAGTGGTTGGTAGTCACAGGCATGGTCTCACCGTGCCTTCCAAAGGAGTCGTTTCTTAATGAACAGACATAGCCGGCCTCTTCTGACAACTGCAGTGATCCTACAGCAAAATACTTGCTGTCCATTAAACACAGCAACAAGAATGGTTTGGGGACGGAGGTGTTTTGTCAATGGTTGTACTGGACTCAGCTGATCTAGTATTCCTTCCATATGCAATAATGAATTCAAATATTCCAGTAAATACCGATTTCTTTTTTCTAGTTGAACATTTACGTTAGTCTAGCAGTTTATCCAAAAACTAATTTATGTACCTGTTGTGCTTAACAAACACTTAAGGCTGTTTCTTTCAACCTGAAATGGCAATTTTTTATGTTCACCATCAGGCAGAATTCTACATTGTTATTATAAAAGATGGGTTAACCCAAGAAAGTGAGGAAAAACGGCATATGTTCAACTTTCAAGAAAGAAAAAGAAAAGGTGCTTCAATTTCTTCTGAACACATTTGGATCAGCTACCATACTTTTGTCTGCAGCATGAACTATGATTTTTGTTTTACATTTTAGAAGTACTTTAATCTCCATTTCATTTTCCTTTCTTTACAATTGTGATCTGACCAGTGTGATTTTATTTCACTGCACTAGGTCATTTTCTATTCAAGATCATATTTACCTTTTATCCTCCCTAGAAAGAATAACTTCAAAAGTAATTCTTTTCACCCCTTACATGTCTCTGTGCAATATACGGAGTCTGGAATTGGGTGGACGTGTATTTTAGTGGTGAAGCTATGGAAATTGCCTTTTTTTTTTTTTTTTTTCCTCAGGACAGAGACAGCAAAAATACAAGTCACCAAAAATGTCTGTTTTAAAATGTCAGTAATTACATGTGGTATGTTTGCATATTGAATTTATAATCTCTTAGTTGTTTTTTTTTTTCTTTCTAGAGCCTACTGTAAATGCAGAATGAATAGTCAGGGTTTGTTATCTATGTCCTGCGATGAAGTGGTGTAGAAATCCTGGGAGGCTGCATTGTGTAAAGCTCCTGGACTAGGTCTGAGAAACTGCAGCTTCACATAGGGTCAGCTGTGTCTCAGAAATAATTAGTCTGTCTCAAAGTCTAGTTAGTTCAGCTTCCACACCATGCACTGGAGGCTCTCTCTGTTCTGAAGTTAGCAAGGTTGACACCGTTTTAGTGGTCCAAATTGCTCAGGGAAAGGGAATAGGTTTTCAGTGAACACAGTGTCTCTGCAATATTGGTACTGATTTGCATAACGAACATTATGAAACCTAGCGCTGCTATATGTGAATATTTGTAGCCAGACAAAATGTGTGACTATAACTGGACCAAGGCTAGTATAACACATATCACACAGTAAAAGGATTTTGGTTCAACCACTTGAAGCCTACCGTTGTGAGAAGGAACAGAGGAAAGCAGCACCTTCCCAGTAATGTTCTTAGCTGGTTTCAAGGGGAAATTACTGTCATGACATATAAAAAGTAACAGCACAGATGTCTGAATGGTGGTATTTAACTTATTAGCTATTCTGATGTGGTACATAAGTGGTGCTGGCTCTGATCGTCTTTTACGTTATGTTTCTTATCATTTAGATCTTGGCTTACAAAGTCATTTTATTTTAGGTACCCTATGCTAAGGAACAAGTAGAGAGCGCTGAGAAGTGTTATTTGTGAGTCAACAGCATCTTCTAAATAAATATTTCCACTGTTCTGAAATCAGCTTTGAACCCTTACAGGAAGTCTCTTGACAGCCATGTTACCAGGTGGGGGTGTTGGCAGGAAGGTTAAAAATATGGATAGACCAGGAGAGGTCATACCAAGCTATCTTCTTGTTTATCAGTTTATAGAAAAGAGTAATTTAAGAGTTCTTGCTAATCCAAATCTCAAATTGTGGTTCTTGGTTCTGCTTTTCAGTGTAAGACAGTGTGATTGATAGCCAAGCAACATTCATTTAATTTTGAGAACAAAATTACAACAATTTCTACAGTAGTATTGGATTAATAATACAAAATATTTAAAATGAATAATGGTAGTCTTCAGAGTGAAGAGTGCTAACAAACCTAAGAAATAAAGAAGAACAGGAATACAGAAACTTCAGGATGAGAATTTCATTAGCTTGTATTAAGGAAGATAAAATATTTTCATATTATTTTCAAAATTATTATTTTAAATCTTAAAACAATCTTAAAACTGACTTTGCCCTTAAGACCGAATTTTAGCAATATGCTTAGTAGAACCTCCACAAGCTCTTAGGAGCTACGTCCCATTTAAATCAATGACAATTTTTTTAAAGTCTGTCCATGTCTTTAGTTCCACAAAGATCCTTAAAATGTGGCCTCAGGCTCAGATTGATTTCAGCTGTTTACACACTCCTATCACACCCTTCTGGCTCCATTTTAACAACCCAGACTTCTTACTGAAGTCACCCAAATCTCATCAGTATGCTGCTTTTCTTACCGGATCTCCTGACACAGAAGTCATTTATCAATGTGAGTCTACCATAAAACAGCAATGCAGGATTGATAATAATACTCAAATAATAGTAATAGTAATAATAATAAAAAGTTCTATTCACATGCATTATAATATGAACAGTAAAATGTATTTTGTTACTTTAAAAAGTCTGTTTGTGACCCATTCTGCCAGATCTAAAACAGCTGAAAAACAAGCACCCAACCTGTGCCCAGTAGTTTGGGATTCTGCCCAGCAAATGGGCCAAGTTTAGGAAGGAGGAGTTGAGGACGACGAGGGTTTCATTAATCGAGTCATGCAGTGACCTCACTAAGTATTTTTAGTTACTGCTATGAGGATTTTCTTTTTATATACTGTCTATGTATTCCTAGATGAGGTTGTGCAGTAGATGGAAATTGAGGTGTGCTCTGCATAGGTGCACTATTTTCTATACATCCAGTTTTATTAAATCTACATATTTCTGGATCTCACCTATCTCGAAAAGTTATGGATCAACTATGTGTTCACTCAGCAGTATGATCAAATCTGTCTTCGGTGATTTACGGATGATACATCATTATTAATATTTCGAGATAAAAATACTCTCCTGTAGGAAGTGGAGGCAGGATAAAATCTGTCACTGTTTTTCATTTGGTTTTAACCTTCGCTTGTGAGTTTTCTCCCCGGAATGGCATTATTGGTGGCCATCTCAAAACGAAACTGGATTCTCAACAGGCATATTCAGAATAATTGTGGCTGCTCCGTAATTGTTCGGGCTGAGGTTTCCAAGGCAACTCGCACCAGTCCCAGGTGGCTGCGTGAACCCAAACTGCCAGGGCTTTGCTCTCCAGTAGCACTATTTATCGTATCCTTATTTTCCTCATCCAGCATTTTGCTCGTCCTAGAATAAAAAAAGCAGAATATTGAAATAATGCAGCCTTACTGTAGTTTTAATACCTCATTACAATTTGAGCAGTAAAATATTTTTGCCTATTTCTGACATTGCTCCTTTTTTCATTTGAGGAAATGAAATGTGTAAATTCTGAACTTCTCCCGTAGGAAGTTATTTCTGATTTCTGAAGCCCTGTTTCCTGTAATTTGCTGCTTAATAAAGCACTTCTTGATACTTAAATATCACCTTAGAAGAAGAATAGAATCATCCTGGCTTAATAATAGCCTGGTTAATTATTCTGTCTGTCCCCTTCTTTACACATCGCCATCATGGAAAATGTTATTAAAAATAAAACAGCTGCTGTGGTTCATAGCAATGTTCATTTTTTAATTAAAGAGAACAGGGTAGCTATAACCCTTATGTGTGGATATATTTACCAAGTATATGGTACATTAAGTGACGTGAGCCACCCGAGTTTGGTAATTAAAGTGACCCAAGCAATTTGTTAGAAGGGAGCGGGTTGCTGCTCACAGAGCCTTCATTTTAAGGCATCCTAAGGGAGGATGCATAGCAGTCCTCCTCCTGCGTATCATTAAGATGCTGGACATTTTATTTTGTTCTAGCTGTTCCCATTAGCGGAGCTGTGTGAGGGTTTTCAGCAGAGCATGACATTCCCTTGATTCCCAAGAGAAAGCTCGGAGCAGGGACCCCGCTGGTGCATCCATGCAGAGCAGCTCCTGTGGACCGTGGGAGGCGCTTCCTTGGGGTCTTCCCTGTGTCCTCTCCGAGTCCCACACTGGGACAACCTGCAGTGGGTGGCTGCTCCACTGAGGCTCCCCCCAGCGCCTGGCACCTCTCATGCGTGGACTTCGGGTATGCTTGGGACTTGGCTCTGGAAATGAGGAGCTGTTCACTGCTGTTGCCGCCCGTGCTTTTTGTGACCGCTGGTTTTGTACCAGTCCGTTTAATACAGTGAATGACAGTGACATCACCCCGTAGTAATCAGACAAAGCTATCCTGATAAGTACTTTTTCTGCAAAGTAATTTCTGGTGAGTGT